AGCGGGCAGTGGCGGTTACTTGCTGGATTCACTTGCAGCGCATTTGCGGTGGGGTCACGAGCGGTCACTTGCTCCAGCGTGCAAAGGCGGTCGCTTGCGGCAGGTTGCAGCACTGATGTTGGAGAGCAAGCCGTTGCAACCTTCTTGTTTTTTAGCCTCTTCTATCTGCACATTACTTGTGAGAGCTGTCTGCAATTCTGCAATTTGGCGAGCTCGGCACATTAAGCAAAATGAAATTCATGGGAATTCTGGCGCAGTAACCAAACTTTCAAGTGCTCAACGAGACTTGCAAGGCCAACCTTCACGTACTTTGACTGACAAGCTTTTGCGTCGCTGCATTTTCCGCAATACATCGTTCAGCCGGCGTGCCTATCACGTCCAACGCAATGATCGTGTCTACACGCACCCACACCGAACATAAAACACAGGCTGCGACAAGGAATAACATTTGCAAATCAAAACGCAAAATCAATTCGCGGCACAGCATAGCCATACTTGAAGCCGCACTTCTACGGATTTTTTACTCGTCACAACGCCCGTTTCCTGTGGAATCGTGTTGCGACGCAAGAACATTACGGTGAACCCTTGTGATCATTCCCCTGGTATGTTGTTTGAATGTTGTCAGTGCAGTTGAAAATGTTTTTTTGCGCTGCCCTGCCCCCCCCTTAAAAAATCGAAAGCGTTGTTTACACCCAATCTGGCAAAAGAAATTCTTGATCAACAAATCGAATTCTTGAAGCAAACACAAAAACCGCACGACTCTTGCAAACAATGCTAATGTCTGCTCACTTCAGCATCCCGAAAAGATATGTAAAATATTAAGAAAGATATTTTAAAAAAACAAACAAACTTCCTCGATCCTGAACACATGGTTGCGCAATGGCATTGCTCTGCTGCGAACAGTGTTTGACAAGCACCGCAACGGCAAAAAAGCATTCAAACATGCTGGCTTTCGCAAGTCAGTAAAAACATCTTCTTTTTGGCTACCATCACGCAACCCTCATGAACCCACAGCAGGCCATCTGCCACAACGACTCTTCAGAGTCAGGGCAGCCAGGCGCCAAAAAGGGTCACACAGTATGGATTCCGCTTTTCATCATGTCACATGCCGCGTGACTGCAACCAAAATGTTGACATCGATACAATCAACCATCCATCACGAAGAGTGACCCCCAGCGCAAGCAGAAGTGCAGGACAAAGCCCCAAGCTCTGTTATATCGGTCTGAACGCCCTTGCTAACAACAAAGATGATATCGTTATCCGGCAAACTTTTCTCAACTGCATCTGTCTTTCCATTGACCATAGTCTCCAACAAGAATCGATCACAAACTGCCACAGCCGGCAAATCATCCTCATTCACATGAATTGCCACCAAATCCTGGCAAAAGAACACGCTTGCTTACATGTTCATTCATATCTCAAAGCAAAGCAAAGCTTTAATTGAATGGCACACCACTAAAGCAACAATGCCTTCTCTGCCGGTTTTTCGTCGTGATCTGGAGCTTCAGGCACGTGAGCTTCAACAAGACTTTCCTCCAATGCGCTCACTGAATAGCGCCACTTGCAAAGCTCAAAAGTACAAAAACATAGCAGCCATAACAAAAATCAATCCATAGATCAAAGCCTCCCTCCCAGCAACCCCAACATGCTCCTCCAAATCAGCTTTAATCTGCTCATCTGCTTCAGGACACGTCATATAGCCTCGTTGATAATCAAAAAAATCCAAGTCCCTGTGATTGGCTCCGCCACAAAAAGCTTCTCCAATAGTCACAGCCGCAGCATAACTTGTAAAGCGGTGCCAAGCAAGAGAATGTGCCTGCCGCTTGTCATGACACAGAACATATTTGCATACTCAAAGACCTAAAAACATACATATGTATATATAGACCGCATTTTACATACCATTTATATATATGAACATACATCTGCATATGCTACAAATATATATATATAATACATACATACATACATACATACATACATACATACATACATACATA